TTCTTTTTCTATTTTAAAAGGGAAATATCAGGGGGCTTTTTAAACCCCTAATATTTCCCCGAAGCCCCCCCAAGAGTAAAAAAAAAATAATTATGAAAATTAAAAAAAAATAATGAAAATAAAATAAAAAAAATAGTAAAAAATAAATTAAAAAAAACTTTTTTTTTTCCTTGCCTCAGGCGCAAAAGTAGCTGGCTACAGCTATGCTCCCGTGGTGCTCGTGTGGCTGCCGGCTGAATGTGTCAGACGCTGCAGATGGAAAGGGGCAGGACACCCCAAGTGCAACGTCGGCCACACGAGCACCACGGGAGGACAGGACGCCGGGACATGTAGGGCGCAAGTCAGACGCTGCAGATGGAAAGGTGCAGGACACCCCAAGTGCAACGTCGGCCACACGAGCACCACGGGAGGACAGGACGCCGGGACATGTAGGGCGCACTGGAATGTAAGCCGGCCGACTCCCTGCGTTGGACTGGAACACAGGCACTAATGCAGGCGATCGCACTGTGGGCGAGGGGCCTGCCTGCGGAGCCTGGCTGCGGTGCCATTGACTTCAATGCACCGCCATGCTCCCTCCCGCCCCGGAATGCAGGTGTTTTTTCGTTGGTAGATCTCAATGAGCTTGTCATTTTGAAAAGTAGATCTCCAGACGAAAAATAGTGGGCGCCCCTGACTTAAAGGTTAAGAGGCTGATGAAGGGGATGAGATTCCCTGAAACGCGTCCCTGGCTATGGTAACCTTGTGTGGATAGAGGCGCTTGAGCTGTCAGACGGATCGATCTCGAGGGGGAAATGTTTCCGAGTCTCTCTGCTGCTGGCTCCACTACAACTACAGAACTCCCCATGTGGTTCATTAGAGGCAGGATGTGCAGCAAGTCCGTCCCATTTCTGTTGCCTCATAAAGATCCACACTTGTGAGTACAATTGTTCTAATTGGATATTTCTTTATAAACAGAACTATGACACTACCCTGGTGCGCTCTTCTCTACTTCTGTTTTATAGTTCTGAGAGCTCCCCTTCCTGAGCTTTTCAGAAGGGTTGCAGGGCTGATTCTGGACTGTGGCTGGCATCATTTGGGTTAATAATGTTTGGACTTTTTATCGCTCTTTGATCTTGATGATATTCAGAGCTCGCTTTCTGTATTACATAGTATCCATTTACCCACATAGCTACGTTCAGAACACACACTGCTTTCTACAAGCCGAAGCCTTTGTGAACAAGGCCTTATAGCCGCACACATCCTCCATGTGC